ACTGAGACTATGATAGAAATGTATGACACGAGAATGATTAGATACGGTGCATTGAGTATAGCACTGACCACCTGAAAGTGCTGCATGGCGATAGGGGCACAGAATACCATCGTGAGTAAAAGGTAAAATATTGCCGACATAATAATAATGAGCGAACTGGTCCAAAAGCCGATGACGAAATACAGGCAGAGTCTGTTGTGTATGAGGGCAGAGTATCTCAATGGCTGACAAATCGCCAGGTATCTGTCATACGACATCAGCGTGAGCAGGAAAATCTCAACACTTGTAACGCCGATCATAACGTTTATCTGGACAAGGCAGCCAATGAAGTCCATGGACCATCTCCCCGATAGGATGCTGTGCATCAAGGAAGGAGCCAGGTTCGTGACATAGATAATTTCACAGCAGAGCAAGTTGGCGATCAGGAAGTACATGGGGGAATGGAGGCGAGGGCTCCTACATATTAACAGGATTATCAGGAAGTTCTCGAAGCAGGTGAATGTGTAGACGATGAACAGGAGAAGGAATAATGGAACTTTGTACTCGGCGAGACCTTCAAATCCGACAAAGAAGACTTCAACGATAATTGTTTTGTTCTTTTGATGTGCCATCTGTACAAAGAGATTGACAAAGAGTAGTGTTGTTAAAGCTAGGGATGTCCCAATACCACTTTTTTAAGACCACGTACAAGTACTTCTCCTCATGTACTTGCCGATACCAATTACCGATACTTTTTCTTAAAGGGACAGGTGACATTTAAAAAAAAAAAACAATAGACTAATGATTTTAGGCCAATTTGTATATGATTATGAAGAACTTTAATTTAAGACCGTGTTAGAACAATAAAAACATTTAACCTATTCATGTTTTCAACCGCGATCGTGTGGGACCGCCCAGGCGGTATTGCGGCGGGAAACCGCGCAATCTGACTGGCGCGAATGGAGTGCCATTCGAAAATAATGGCACTACCAGCCTAATTGGCGGTGGTGTGAAATTCCGTGACCGCCCAGCCATCTGCTCGGTTTCATGCACGATGACCGGGCGGTCACGGATTGCACACCACCGCCAATCGCGCTGGCAGTTCCATTATTTCCTAATGACACCCCAGTCGTGCCAGGCAGATTGTGCGGTTTTTGTCACCACTACACGCCCCCTGCTCTCGCTTGCCCGGCGCCCGGAACTATATGTCCCGGGCGTCGGGCAATACGAAATCAACACCGATGCGCAAGCAACAGCGTTATGTACCGGGGCAGTTTCACAAGAACAAGTACTTGTGAAAATGCCCTGTATCGGGCCCGATACCGAAGCTAGCATTGGTATTGGGACATCCCTAGTTAAAGCCGAACTCCAGTGCTGTCCCCCACAGACTCAACAGTCTTGTAATCCAGTGCTGCTCCTCTTCTCTTCCGGTGAGTCCAGGGCGTCATGGCACCACTCTCTGCAACATGAATCTAGGGCGGAGAGTGGTGCCATGTCCATACATCACATTTGGGTCTGATGAAGAAGATGGCAAAGAGGACCCATGATGTCATGTGACCTGATCATATCCTATGGGCGTCCCACCACGCTCCTGACCACTAACCCCCTTGTGAGATTGATTACTGAAATGACTGCAGGTAGTGCCGCAGTAATAGAGTATGTCATCAGCAGAGGATCTTTGTTAGTCCAACGCGCCTATATTGAGTTGTAAACATTATTGTCAAACAAGCAGCAACAAAAATGGTGTTAAAGCATAATGTTTAGAGGTCAATAAAGTCATGTTGGACTAAGATCCTCTGTGTGCTGAGAAGATATTCTTTGTACCAGTATATAGATAGAAAAAAATATGTGTAAATAAAGGCGACCCAATACTTCTGGTAATAAAATGTGTGTATATATATATATTAGGGATGTACTGATACAAGCATCGGTATCGGGACCGATACAGGGCATTTTGACAAGTACTTGTAAAAATGCCCCGATACAAAGCGCCAAAGCTTGCACTATGTTTTTTTTTCTACTTACCACGCCGAGCGTCGTTCCACTGCTGCTCCGGTGGGCGGCGCTCCAAGCAGTCACCGACCACCTAAATTAGGACCCCACCTGGAGCGTCGCCCACCGGAGCAGCAGTGACGTGACTCCTCTCCAGGTATTGCAAACCAGTCATTGCATGTCATGGAAGTATAGGGACTAGACATCCTGAAAATAGATTTGTATATGTTAGCAGTAGTTTTTCATATACCATTAATTCAGTTTCAATTCATTTATAATGAAAGAGTGTGAGACCCACCTATTATAAATAGACTACTGAGCTTAGGTTCAGACTCTGTGTAAGCTTTTACTGCTGAGGCAGCACGTGGACAGGGCATGGTGGAATTGTGTCCTGACAAGTTATTATATGTATTCCTAAACTTAAAACTTTTGTCTATAAACTGAAAAAATTGAGTTGGCTTTACTTAAAACTACAAGTTGAAAACATGTAAAGTCAAATGAGTCAAACAAAAATAAGTTTAGTTGACATTACTTAAAAAGCTGATGCAAATAGTTGCCTCCATTTTTTTGAGTAAACACAGCACAATATTTTTTACAGTGTAGGAGTTGAACATGAACAAGAACATGGAAAGAACTGCTTGCCAAAAGTTCTCCACACAGTTTGCCGGTACAGCGTAAAGGTCCAAGTCTGTGATGGCAGCATTTACTATGCTCTATTTCTAAGAAAAGGAGTCTACCTCGTCCTGGATGCACCTGACCCTCCCCCCTCTCTCCCTGGAGTTCAGTAGTAAAAGAGATTCTGCTTGATCTACTGTCTGGACTTCACTTTGTCGGTAGCCACTGGAGGTGGTAAGTGTTTTTGGGGCAGCCATGTGTTTTAGAAATCCCTAGACAGGCTAACGGAAGACCCAATCCCAGCAGTGGCTCCTTAGGGGGTGAGCGCTACACATGTATACGTGTCTCATTTGTTTTTAAATACTTATTTTTTTATCCAACGTAAGTGCCACTTAAAAATTCACATTTACTTTACTCTTCAATGGTAATGTTCCCTGCCATAAATGTATGTAAATATTGCCTTAAAATGTTACTCAACAGGTCAAAGAATGTAAGAAAATGAAGTCGATGGAGATGACCCTCCGTACTCCCCACAGCAGTCCCGTCCAGATAAGAAAAAAGTGGTGCTTGCAGTGATGAATTACCACGGATGGCACCATGCAAACGCCAGTCAGTCACATCTTTCTGCCTTGAGGAAGGGACCCTGCGCAGCCCCGAAACATCGGTTTATTTGGATGTCTGTGATTCTTTCTGTCCAATAAAAAGGGACGTATTTATCTTTACTACTGAGTGCTGGTGATTTCCTGACTTTCCTGTAAGAAAATGAATACATTTTTTTTTAACGTTTCTGGTGGTTGGTTTCACAGTTAAAATGCAACGGGCTGCAGAAGATGACGGATCGGTGGCAGCAGTTGTGGGACCATATCGGCTTTATGTCTCGTCATTCCATAAACTACGTGGGAAAGAGTGGCTGGCTGATGAGGTAAAAGACTACACTGCGGGAAAATGTTTCAAAATAAAAACTGTAATGTTTCTATATTTTATACATGTATTTTATATGTTTTATTATGCAGCTGATTGACGCCCATCTTCGCCACGTCATTGGAAAGCATCAGGCAAGTTTCAATGACATGATGCTTGTGTTATATGCATGCAATTGCGGATTGTAACTTTTAATATTTTTCTACAGGAACCCGTTCACCAGATGTGTGCGGTCATCTCGCACAGCATTGTCCAATGGACAGCATCACAGGCTTGGAAAGGTTGGCCACGATTACAGCTCTCCATATTAAACATACATTATATAGATCATTTATATATGTATTTAATTACTAACTTGGCATCTGTTCTCCCGATGAGGTTCCCAGCCGAAGATCTATGGCTATGTCCTATTAACGTTGGAGCGCACTGGCTTTTAGTGGTATTTATATTTGCAACAAGTTCATTTAGCTTTTTTTTAGTTACATCGTGCACCATTAGAATTTAATTGATTCATTTATGTGTAAAAATATTACATAGAAACGGCACGACAGCAAAAAGTGGATGTGCTCCATAATTTACAATTGATAATTTCATCTTGAAAGATGTGTGAAGAAACAACATTTTGTAGATCGTCGTGATATCAGCGCAGATCCTTGTGGTGATGGGCCCATTCGGGAATGAAATGTCCTATCATACATTGTTGCATGACAACTGGAGGTCAGTGTGCGTACGGCATAAACATGTCCAAAAACAAACATGCGCCGAAGTTCACAATTATGGCTTTTATTTTTCTGTTTACCGTTAACAGAATCTTCTTGAAGATGAATCCAAGGAAGCCAATGGAAAAACTGTCTAATGGCACACCACAAACAGCAGGATTTCAGCAGCTGTGGTGTTCTAATTTTGATGGTACTTTATCTGTTTTTTGGACTATTCTTTGAGGGACTCGGGATAAATGTTAATTGCTGCTCCAAATGTGACCTTTTATATTAGTTTGCAAAGGAGTTCCTTCAGACGAGGACCATTAGTGAAGAGTTCTTATCTGGAAACATTTACAGCCAAAGTAGAAAAGCCTGCTCCCTGCCAGCATGCAGCATACTGGACTCCTGCTCTATGTGTATACGCAATGGTCATTCTAATAAGGTCTGGCACAGTCAAGCCTGAGTCAGAGCGAGAATGTTCCAATGGGCAAAGACCATGAGCTTTGTTGAATGAGGATCTATCAGTCTGACTCTTCTGAAAGATTGTCAGCCCTCTGCAGAGATACCACAGCTTTCACACAGAGAACAGGGGTCCTTCTATGCAGCACGCTAGCGGGGGGCAGGCTTATCTACACATAACTCTGTATACAAAGTCTTAGGCTGTGGCTGCTTTTGAAAGAACAATTTTGTTTTGAGGCAACTGGAATATATTTTGCTGATTCAAACCGTTTAATTGGGCTTTAAAAATATAAGGATTCATCATGCTAATATACTTCAATACTAGATTTATTGTTAATGTATTTTAACAGTAAAATATCGCTTCATGTCACTCATTGCTGTCTGTAGAGCTTTATGGATCTCCTGGTTTCTTAAACTGTAAATGATGGGGTTTATCAGTGGAGGCACCCCGTAGTACAGGAAAGCCAACTCATTATAGTAATTTACTGCTCCTGGCATCAAAGTTATGAAAGGCATGCTGAAGTATATAGACACAAACAGGAGATGGGAACCACAAGTGGAGAAGGCTTTCTGTCTGCCAGCTGATGACCTTATCCTGAGAACTGAGACTATGATGAAAATGTATGAAACAATAATGAATAGATACGGTACATTGATTATAGCGCTGATCACATAGCCATATATATCCAGGGGCATCCTATCCGACATAATACACGCACACAGGACGAAACTAGTGTATTCACAGACAAAGTGCTGCATGGCGATAGGGGCACAGAATACCATCGTGAGTAAAAAGTAAAATTCTACCGAAATAATAATGAGCAAACTGATCCAAAAGCCGATGACGAAATACAGGCAGAGTCTGTTGTGTATGAGGGCAGAGTATCTCAATGGCTGACAAATCGCCAGGTATCTGTCATACGACATCAGCGTGAGCAGGAAAATCTCAAAAGTTGTAACAGCCAGCATAACGTTTATCTGGACAAGGCAGCTGATGAAGTCCATGGACCATCTCCCCGATAGGATGCTGTGCATCAAGGAAGGAGCCAGGTTCGTGACATAGATAATTTCACAGCAGAGCAAGTTGGCGATCAGGAAGTACATGGGGGAATGGAGGCGAGGGCTCCTACATATTAACAGGATTATCAGGAAGTTCTCGAAGCAGGTGAATGTGTAGAGGATGAACAGGAGAAGGAATAATGGAACTTTGTACTCAGCGAGACCTTCAAATCCGACAAAGAAGACTTCCACGATAATTGTTTTGTTCTTTTGATGTGTCATCTGTACAAAGAGATTATCAAAGAAAAAGTGTTGTTAAAGCCCAACTCCAGTGCTGTCCCCGACAGACTCAACAGTCTAGCAATCCACTGCTGCTCCTCTTCTCTTCCGGTGAGTCCAGGACATCATGGCACCACTCTCTGCAACATGAATGTAGGGTAGAGGGTGGTGCCATGTCCATACATCACATTAGCATCTGATGCTCTAATGAAGAAGAGGGCAAAGGGGACCCATGATGTCATATGACCTGATCAAATCCTATGGGTGTCCCACCACGCTCCTGACCGCTAAGCCCCTTGTGAAATTGAGTACGGAAATGACTGCAGGTAGTGCCGCAGTAATAGAGTATGTCATCAGCAGAGGATCTTTGTTAGTCCAGCACGCCTATATTGAGTTGTAAACAACAAGCAGCAACAAAAAAAGGTGTTTCAGCATAATGTTTAGAGGTCAATAAAGTCATGTTGGACTAAGATCCTCTGTGTGATGGTGAAATACTCTTTGTACCAGTATATATATATAT